CAAAAAATCAATGCAGATGTCTATCAAAAGGAACAACCACCATTCCTCTCGGATGATAAGGTATGGCTACTTCGTCGCAATATCAAGACCACTCGTCCTTGTGACAAGTTGGACTATCGAAGGCTAGGACTATTTTCTATTTCTGCACAAATCAATCCAGTTGCATATCGTTTACATCTACCAGAGTCAATGAAAATCCATCCAGTATTCCACGTGTCTCTTCTTGAACCATACAAGACAGTGGACATACCAAGAAGACAACAAGCTCCACCTCCTCCTATAGAAGTAGACAATAATGAAGAGTTTGAAGCAGAAGAAGTCTTAGATTTAAGGCGGCTCCAAAATAAATTGGAATATCTTGTCCATTGGTACAGATATGGTATTAGTGAATGCACATGGAAGCCAATAAAGAATCTTGCAAATGCAATAAAGGCGGTGGAGGCTTTTCATCAACGACAGCCATCAAAATCAAGATGAAAACTTTCTTTATAAAAGAAACAACATCTAGGCAAGATAACATTCTACTTTCAATCCTTATTTGTAGCTTCTTTGTAGTTGTGACGTTTAGGACATGGAGAACCAACAACCAGTGGATTCGACTCAAGAGCCTTCATTTGCTGACCTGTCGGATGAGATATTACAATTGTCACAACCTTCAAGACGACACAATCGAGATGAAGATCTTGAAGAACAACATGTTCTTCCTCGAATGGATGGCAAGATACAATGCATTTGGTATCACGATTTGGAAAGGGACTTTCAATGTTTGGTGATTTTGTTAGAGGTAGGAACAACTTCTAATGGTGTTCCAAATATTCTATTCGAATGAAGTTATGAAGGCCTCAACAATGATCAAATAACTAGGTGGTCTTTCCGCCCTGGTATGGGATACTACCGATGGTTGACAGGCCCTATCAATCATCTTCGAAGAAAACAAAGATCAGAGTATGTAGCGAATACAATTCGTCGCATCATAGATTTCTTCAATATATGATGACCGCTCCTCATGGAACTCGTCCCTAGAAGGAGAGGTAATGTCATGGACATACTCATGTAAGCTAGTAATTACTTATACAAATGGGTAGAAGTAAGTAAAAGTAGGTAAAAATAAGTTAATTCTATAGTATTTAATATGGAAGCTTCCTAGAAGCTTTATAGACATTGTTTTGACTTCATAGGTGTCTTTAATTGACTTTTTGGATTAGAAACGTGGTCAACAAGTTAGCCATGTGCCACACATGTTGTTAGCTTGAAGATCAAGTTAACTATGTGGCCCACACGTAGGAAAACTTGCCTTGTAAGTCAAGGCATGTGTCTTACAAAGTCAACACATATTGGAGGTCCTATAGAATGTCACCACGTAGCCCCTAGTTAGATAGTATATATAGAGACAAGAGTGAAGCCTTCTTCACTCTTGTCAACTCCTTTCTTGCTTCTAGTCTAGTTTCAAGGGTTTCTAGTTTTCTTGTCTTTTAGCAATAGCCATTTTAGTTTCTCTTTCAATATACATATTTATTTATTTATATTTTGTTACCTTTCTTTGAGTGAAGGCTCACTTGTTTGGATTATTTTTTCATCGATTTCTTGTCCTTGAAATATATATATATATATATATATATATATATATGTGTGTGTATATATTTGTGTATCTGAATTATGTGTTTTTATTATTTTAAATGGCCTTTAGTTTATTAAAATGAAACTTTCGTACATAGATTTTTTATAATTAAACTGAAACTGATATAATTTATTTTACTTTGTATTAATTTTTAATCTCAAGTATTTTAGATTTTTTGCTATATATGTACTTATCTTATTTGAGTACATAAATTACTTCTAGTTGAAACTGTTTTATATAAAAACATATTCTAAAATAATAATATTCATTGACTTGATATTTTAAATTATTTTTCAGTTATATTGAGTATTTAATTAAGTTATTTAATTAAAAAAAAAGTTTTACAATCTTAAATAATAACTTATAATTACCTGAAAATCTGATGTAATAGAATTGATTTATTATTAATGTAAAAGATCCAAAATTAAGTAATTAAATTATTTAAAATACAAGTATAGCATAAAAATTAAAAAGTATATTCATTTAGGAGTCTATCTTATGTTTCATGTAAAATAATTGAACTAAATATTATTTTGTGATGTAGTTGTAAATAATAAATTTAAATAAATTATATGATTTTTTACAAATATTAGTTTTATAATATTATTCTTCTATACATGTGTTCTTATTTGTTGAATAGACAATTTCTGATTTTGTAAAATTGCTTAATTCTTCACTTGTTTAACCAAAAAAGTGCTAAGTGATCTATTGATCATCTATTTTTGACTCTTAAATAAGCTGAAAGAAGATGATATTCTATTACAATAATACGAGTTTTTTTTAGTAAAGTACTTGAAACACATAAAGTATACCTTACAAAGATATTACAGTTATGGTGAATTGTTAGAGGATGTGTCTTTTTAATGTTGTATTATATAATTTATAATACTCATGATTTTTACTGTAAAATTCTGGAAATCCTTATGCTAATTTGTTTTATTATGCTTAAATAAAATATTATAATATTACAACATGATTAAGGATTATTTTGGTAAAAATATTATACTATAATTCTAATTTATAACTACAATAATCAATAATGACCAAAATATTTATATGATATTAATTTTTAGAAATGATAATGATAATAGAATAATTCAACTTCTACATTTTACTAGCATTTTGTCACCAACTCATATATCTACACTTACACAAGTATTGTTTGAGATGCTTCTTATTTATTGTACATGCTAATATTTTAAATGATATTTTGATTATTATTCATATTTTATGGATATATATATATACATATATTCTCAAAATTTTAAAGGTCTTTACTAACATGTCTTTAGCTTTGTTTATAATAGGTATATATCTACTAACTGTTTTTAGAAATGCCTCTCTTCTAATTACAAAAACATTTTCATAAGGCATACATGGCTTTCAATATATTATTTATCTATGCACTTCTACATTTTTTGTATTACAAAACTTTGATACTTTACATCTATTTCTTCTAAAAACATTTCTCCAACTCTTATATAGGTGCCTAAATAAATGAAAATTCCACATTGTATTGAAACTAGTGTTGGAAATTATATTGATCTTCATTTGTATTCAACAAAACTTGGCATGCACTATAAGAAATATGATGCTTTATTATACTTAGTTTTGCTAGATTTTTTGGAAAAGAATGATAATAATTTTTAATAAAAATATTATAAAGAAATAATTATTAATATAAATTTACTTTAATATTAAAAAGAATATTTTATATTAAATAATTTTAATTAAATATATGTACATCTTTTTAATTATATTATACATGAGTATATTACATAAGTTTTGATGCAATATAATGCTTGTACTATTTTTATTTGTGGATGGTATAAAATATTTTTGAATCCATGTATTTGTTTTTAAGTTTCCCAATTATCAAATAAAATAATAAATTTTAATTTTTTTTGCAAAAGTAAAAAATTATATGAAATTAACAATTGTAATAGAATCTATTGACAAGAAGATGACCATTCAAATATTTAGAGGCGATGTGTTTTTATTATGTTAAAACATATTGTTCCAAAATCTTTAATCTAGTCCTCAATTTCTACCTATATTTTTAAATGTATCTTCAAATTATTCTCCACACAATTCTCATGCATTATTAGATGATGTAAAACATTTACTAGTATTTCAAGCTTCTAACACTTTATTTTTAATTTATATTACAAATCTAGTTACTTTTAGTAATACATGTTACATTGTTCAACATTGACAATTGTATAAAAGTTCAGAATCTAAGAAGCTTAGTGTTTATTAGTTGATATTAAAATAAAAAAAAAATAAAAAAAAAAATTACAAAATAACAACCAACTTTACAAAGTGAGTGGCAACAAACAATATATATATATATATATATATATATATATATATATTTCTCATAAACAAGAAGTTAAGTTCAAGGAAAAAAGAAAAAAGGGAAAGAAAACAGTGAAATAAAATCTTTGACTTCAACTATAATTAGCATCATTATGCAGGAAGCAACCTCAATATAAATCAATAAAAAAAAAAGTAGAAAGACTTTGAATATACATTATATTACTTTTAAATGTAATAAGTATGGTTTATTATATTTAAATTTTTAAATTTTTTAAATTTTTTTTATTTACAGTAATCTTAAATAAAAATAAGTAACAAAAAAGTAGGCAAATATAAGATTGTTAAACTTTTATATACTATGAAATACCATAATGTCATAAAGATATAGATATGTGTAATCTAATTATAATGTATATAGGTATGTTACATTATACATATATGTTACACAGTTTCTACAATATGTATTTTTTACTTTTTTAAATTTGTATTAATTAGAATTGCAATAGATGCCATAATACAAACTCGTTCATTAATACTAATTGAATACACATAATAGATGTGCCATACTTGTAGTTGTAGACCAATTACCAACAACATTCCACTAATAGATGGTTTTTATACAAAAAAAATAAATATACATCTGCAACGTGGACCACAAATTCCAATAATTTTTGGTGGTTTTCTTTTATGATTTTCCTTGAATATATGTATGTTTCCTGTGATAATCACTTCTAAAAAACATTTTCGTAATTAATTCATTTTTTTGCAAAAATGTTCAAATACTGCAAATTACACAGGAACAAGACAACTCATCCCCATTTAACACGTACATCAAACAACAAACAATTTCAAATTGTTATATTTACAACCCACTTGTCAAGAATCTTTGTTTAAAACCATCCAAAACAAACTGTTGTCGCAACATCAAAATCTACATTCGAGACTCCCCATCATTCAAGTTTTGAATAATACAATTATGAAGTAGGTAAGTAAAGACCAAAAAGCCTTATTAGAATACACCCCACATCATTACATGAATCCATCCACCAACCACAATAACACACACATATATATATATATGTATATTGTATCTCCACGCGCTGGATTTGTTTCCGACGCACCCGAACCTTTGTTCAATTTTGCGGAGCTCCTCTTCGACGAGCGCGGATTTTCAATTCGGGGAACACACAGGAATCTCGATTCGTTTGATTGTGGCCCGACGAACGCACACGTCTGGCTGCGTGAGGGGACGTTGTTGACGGTTGAGCTGCGGGAAAGTGAAGCATCCATTCAGAGTGAGTGAGTGAGTGAGTGAATCCATGTCGCGATGTATGTCACATTTTTGGAGAAATGAAAGATAGCGGAATTTCGGAGTGTGGAAGTGTTCGTCTTAGTGTGTTAGTGAGGAACGATCGAGGTTGATAGAGGTTTGTTTGCTGCGTCAGAATTGTCGTCTAGCTTGTTTTTGTTTCTTAACATTCGCTTCTTTCGTCGCTGTGATAGTGTAGATTGGAGGGCGGGATTGGGGTTTGAATGCAGAGGAGCTTGTTTTTTGCGTAGCTGTCTCCGCCTCCCAATCTCTTGTTGAATTGTCTGCTTGGACGCTTGCCTTTTTTTCGGATTGAGTGCACTCATCGGGATGTGGCGTGGTGGGATTGGATTGGATTGGTGAGAGTAGAACCTGGAGTGTAGCCATGGTGAAGCTCACTCTTATTGCGAGGGTGACGGATGGCTTGCCGCTTGCAGAGGGGTTGGACGATGGGCGTGAGCAGAATGACATGGAGTTTTACAAGCAGCAGGCCAAACAATTGTGCAAAGAGCTCTCTCGGCGGCAGCATGAGGCGTCTCGGATGTCTGTTGAGACTGGACCTTACTTTTTCCAGTATCCTTTCGCCCGCGTGTGTGGACATGGTGTCGTTTCTACTTTCGTCGCCAGTGCCCGTTTCGTACTCAGGGTTTTAGCTGGGAATTGTTGTATGCGACTTGGCGAATACAACGAGTTTGGGAACAGACGTGTTGATTGGTTCGATTTGGTTTTATTGGGGATTTAACCTAGTTAGGGTTATGCTGCGGAGACGCTTCTGCTCCCTTGTAACGTGTATGTTGTGCGTCTTGTTCGATACTGGATAGTAGGCACTTGGTTGCGGGTTATTTTATGCTCTTCGAGATATGGGTTCTCTGGTAATTTTCTACTGGTGTGTTCGAGAATCGCCTTAAATGAAGATTCCAGTTACATCATAGAAGGGGGTGTGTGTTACCTTACCCTCTGTGAGCGATCATATCCTAAAAAACTTGCGTACCAGTATCTGGAGGAGCTGCAACGGGAATTTGAAAAGGTGAATCGGTCGCAAATCGAGACTGTCGCGAGGCCTTATGCCTTCATCAAGTTTGGTAAGTTCTCGAGTTCTACTGGACTTCAGCTCTCGTTCAATTCTGTGAGGTGAGTTTGTCATGTACTTTCGTCTGGTTTGTCCGATTTCTACATTGTCTATGCTCGTTAAGATCACCTTTTGGGGTTAGTCAGCGAGAATTTGGTTTCATCGTGCTTCATTTGATGCAAATTTGCAGATACTTTTATTCAAAAGACTAGGAAGCTTTATCAGGATACTCGAACTCAGAGGAATTTGTCTAAGCTCAATGATGATTTGTACGAAGTCACACAAATCATGACACGCAACATTCAAGAGGTTTTAGGGGTTGGAGATCGACTTGACCGTACGTGTTTATGCCCTGAGTGCTATTGATTCAAATTCTCTTTGTTGTGGACTGATCAATCAATTGTTTTTGAAATTGTTCTGCATGTCTCCAGGTGTGGTCTTTTCTAACCCCCGGTTTTGCTACTTTTTGTACTGCTTATGGTGAGGTTTTTTATTGTTCAGATATTATTAGGATCAACGTTAATAAGGATACAGACTCACCTCCAGGCTCCAAAAGAATCTTTTATTCAATTATGCTACGCGAAATAGCAGATCTGAGTATGCAATCTATTTAGTTCCCATGCTCATGTTGTACACAATAGACAATTGTGAGTAGACTAGAAGCGAGTTTTTGACAGATGATTTTCAAGCGGGTACTTTTGCAAGCCCTCAACACAGACGTCGAATTTATTTGTTAAGAGGAGCATGATGATAAGAGGACGACGCACTGCCGCACTTTGGCACTGGTCGACATGACATGAATTGTACATTGAGGACTGACTGAATTAAAACTGGGCGCTTACGTGGGTATGAATTGGCTGTGTGTTCTGTAGAGGTGAGCCAGATGTCGAGCAGACTTGCCACTGAATCAAAAGTGTACTCAGACAAAGCAAAAGATCTGAACCGGCAGGTTTGTAATCTCCTTCATGGACACGTGCTGTCGTCCATCGCATGTTTTCTGTTTTCATCGTCTGTGTTGACTCTGATCTTACGCTGCCTTACCCGTTCCTAAAACTTCTGTATCAAAATCAGTCCTCACTGCATTGGCATGCATCACTTTTTTGTTTTTAGGAAATTTTTAACTGTAAGTTATGAGACTCCTTATGGAGTATTCTGTATTGCGATTTGCACAAGCTTCTCTGAACCTAATGATCGGTCACTCAATCGCATTCGACAACATCGCAGGCTTTGATAAGGAAATGGGCACCTGTTGGGATTGTAATTGGGGTGGTTCTACTACTTCTCTGGTTCCGCCGGTCATTCTGGAGTTAGCATCGTCACCAAGGTACAGATAGAAAATTTCCTAGAGACATTTCTCAAGGGCTCATAAGTTGCGGCTCCCTAAATTAATTATTGCTGTAATATCTGGTAGAGCATCTTCTCTTCCTCTGTCAATATGATCCTACTCCTTGAATTGCTAACGTAAAGATGTTGGGCTTGAATTTTTTTGTAGTTAAATGTGCCAACTAGGCTGTGATTCGTCTTCAACTTCGAGTGTGCTTGAACAAAATGAGTTGTAAATAATTTAGTGCTCTCCAGATCATAAATTATGCAAATTATTATGTTGCAGAAATGTGATACCGAGGCCACAATAATTCGCAGCTGTTTAATCCTGTGTAGTTTGAACATAGTACACTTCAGATTCTAGTAGTTAACAGGAAATGTGATTGTCCTGGATTTGTGATTTTGGCTATTCTGCTGATGTAGAAACTTGATAAAACCATTTACAGCATAGGTAGGTACAATTTGTGATCCGATTCCAAAGTTGTGAATAATTTCAATGGCAGTAACTTGGTATGTCCTTCGTAATCGTGACCTCAAGATTGTGGAGATTGGAACGTGTTCAACTTCAATTTTCTGTGAATTTGCATCAAGGGTGGGTATTTCCACTCAGTGACAAGTTTTTACATCATCTTAAGATTATATCTAATAATGTTGGTACAATTTGTTGCAATTAGATTTGGCATTTTGATAGGAATTTGCAATTTTGTGTAACATTTGAAAAATTATAATGCAGTAGAGTATTACACTATCAAGCTAGGATATGGTTTTTAAAACTGTATTGTTATTATTATTTTATTTGTCGAATATGGAAGAACATGTTGAAATATAGTTTTAGAAGTTTTTTGAAATAAAATTACTCTATAAGTAATACAGAGAGTAATATATTGTGTTTTGATTGATTTTTAGATTTTTTGTATTTTGTTTTTTAGATGATTCTCTTTAGATTTTTATTCATGAGGTCAATTATAGATATAGGATTTTGTCCTTGTTGGTTGAACTTGTTATTCTTGAGTTGGAGGTAATATGTTGAAGTATTGGATGGAGACAATATTCTTCTTTGCAAATTTAGCTTGTCATTTTTACTTTTATTTTGTAAATAATGTGATGTTGACATTCTAGTTTATAAGGTAGAATTAGGTTCTTGTATAGATTAAATTTTAAGTCAAATTTTTTAATATTAATATTTTTTTATATTAAATGTCAATATATATTTTTATTGTCATGGTTTCAAGCACTTTTGCTTAGATATACGACAACTGCCAAAATACATCTCAATAGAAAAGTTAAAATTTTAAAAACAATAAATATTTAATGAAAGAGTTTTAAAAGTTTTAATAATATGTAGCTTGTTTGCCTAATATAGTTGTCTGTAGCTTTAAAAAAATGAAAGTTGTTCAAATACAAGTCTAAGTAGTTCAAGGGAAAATATTATGATTCAAAATAATATTGCTTATAATGATAATTAAATTTTAAAATAATATTGATTATAATGTAGTTAGTTTTGTATAAACTTAAGATTTTTTGGATATAGAATATTCTCTTTGATATGTAAAAGACCTACTTTGGTACATGTTTGTTACATCAAATATTAAAAAAAAACAGCTAAAGAAGAATTTTGTTTTTTCTACAAGATGTTCATATTTTTCTCATATAATAAGTAATATAAATAAGTAGTGGATAAGAAGCAAAACCGTTGGCTCTAGACATTCTCATAGATGGTATTTTATTAGTGATATTCACATGTAGATTGAATTTGGAAGTTTGTTGGTAAAACCTACTTCATCACCTCAATCCTCTTTTGACTACTATGAAAAGTAGATATGTCAATCTTTCTAGATTGGCCTAAATTCTAAATATAAATGTATATCTATTACAAACACTTATATTCTATGCATATAAATTTAGAAATATTTTTTATAAAGCTAAAGCATTATATCATATAACTTTATATTTCCTATTCAAATTTATTCTAGTAAACAATAATAAAAACCATAGAATTAGATATCATTACAATACTATCTATATTATGTCATAGCAACAAAATATAAATAATATCACTATAATTTTATAATATATATATATATATATATATATATATTTAAAATTATTATTTAAAATAAAATTTCATAACTATAATTATATATTAAATTTTTTAAATATCTATAATTTTAATTTAAATGATAATTGAGTATTTATTTCTGATATTTAAATATATTAATAAGAAAAATTGATATGTTCACCAAGGTTTTTACTAACTAATGGGGTCTTTATCACCTAATCTAACTTTGGCTTATTTTTTGGTTTGCTTTTTAGTTGTATATGATCATAATGTAGAATGTAACCTTAAGATGAAGCTGTTTTTGCACTACTATAAATGTATTAAGGAATCCCTACATCCAAACCTAGGTCATGTGATCTAAACTCAATTAATTTAATAAAAATTCAAATCAACATATCAATTTTTATTAATAAAAATATGAATTTATAAAAACTTAAAATATTTAAAAAATATACTAAGTAAATTTTTAACACTTAGATCATTGGCCAATGTACATTACAAAAATAAATTGAATATATCAATGCATTAATAATATGTAATCTTCTATCTAATACTAATATGTTTAAGCTTGTAGTATGTATTTATTAATAAAATTTGTAACAACTTCTTGGTTTTTAATTTTTAAAAAAATTACTCTTGATTTATTCAATAAAAATAAAATAATTGACTTTATTTTTTTAAACAATAAAATCATTCACGACTTCTTCTCTGTCCAACCTATTGCAACATTGCATCTCTGTTTTAATCATTGAACATGAATAATTCCTTCAGATTTTGGTATTTGCTGCATTTTTAGTGCAACAAGTGCTTGAATGTATTGATCCCGATAGAATAATGTTGAATAAAATTGTAAGCAAAGCATTGTATATAATTAGGTGCTTGGTTCCCCTCAATACACACCTTGTTTAATCTGGCCCATCAGAGTTGCAACAAACCGAGTTGAAGAACAAGTCGTATTTGTAAAATATCTTGTTGCAAGATTTTTGTGATTCATGATTTAATCTGTGAAGTATTTTTGCATTGCAAACACCTGGTTTTCAAATTGAAGCAGCAGAAACTGATCAATGGTTACCTGATCTACAAAGCAGAACAACTTTGAAGCCCGTTAAACCCTTACACCTCAGCCACGACGATGGATTGCGGAAATAAAACAATGAAAAAGTTGATGCATGTTTCTCCCCACTCTTTCTCTCAATGAACAGAGAACTACGAGGATTGAGAACAGTGGTGCTAATGCTCATCATGATCAGTTTCGGAATTCGAGTAACTCACGTGCCCTTCTCATGAGGCAAGTTGCTTGAAATATTGGGCTTCAAGCTGGAAGCAATGTATGTGTCTGGAATCAGACTCGTCCTTTGCGGCCTTGATTGAGTTCCTAGAACAAGTTCTCTGCCTCTGGGAACCTATGTGAAAAGAATGGATGATGAGGGTATCTTCACACTTTCTATCTTCATAGTTTTCTAGCATCCTGGAGGCTTATCAAGCAAAAATCAGGCGAGGATAGTGCGAGAACGATATTCATAGATATACGTGTCTTTTTCAGGCCAAGTCACACGCACTCAGTACACAATACACAGATTTGAAGTACGTAGAACGACAGCACGAGGTTTTTAATAAGGAAAATGGTCGGTTGATGAATGCAGGATATACAAAGGGCTGAATAGGTTCAAGCTCCGATGACTTGACTGTCTGTTTTCCAAGGTCTTAGTCCTTTGTCTTGCTGTTTGATGCACCTTTCGTACCGCGGTCAGTTATTCCTATCTGATATCGCAGTTGAGATAAGCAGTGAAGGGTGCTTTGATACAACATCTTGTCAGAAGGTCTCACTAATAACCCTAAAATATGATTATTTGCTCGTGAGAGTTTTGTATTTCTCTAAGCTTCTCATTCGCTGGATATGATTCCCTGTGTTTCTCCAATGCTGGATATGTTTTTTTTTTTTAATATCCTGCAAAACCTTCGTGGACCTGGTGTTAAATCTACGTTAAGAGATTCAATTGATCTTCAGCTTAGATACTTTTTTTTTATTTTTTATTTTTTATGGACAGATTATTTATGGTGTGTAGATTTTATTGAGACTGTTTTTGCCAAAGGTGACCCTCGAATCGCTGCTCTCTTTGATCATCTGCTTGTAGACGATGCGTTGAAGCTTATTGGTGAACAATTGAGATCCAATAATGATGGGCCCAAAGAACTTCTACTTAAGGTAATCATTTGGCTAAGCTGTAGGTAGTACCCACCTGGGTTAGACGCCATTCTTTTTCTTACGATGAAGGGGATTGCGGCCGGAATGCACAACATTGGCTGCGTTTTTGTTAAACACTCGGACTCTTGAACTCTTTACCTTCTTTTCATCAATCTTTCCAGCCTTTACTGTGGTTAGTATTAGCAATTTGAAGACTATTATTCCTCATACTTTTTGCTTCAGTTGTTTCGAGAGTAGAGTAGAGACAACTTTAGCCTAGTCAAAACTTGCGTTAAGTTTCTTAGTTTTGCACGAGGAACATTTTGAGTATGTGCCACATCTACAACCAACACGTAACTTGCATGTGTATAGTTAATAAGAACACTCACTTCTACAGCCACTGTGCAGATAACCTGTATGTGTCTTTTTGAGACTCCATGGCTATTATCGCAAAATACTATCTGTACGAGTTATCCTAGAGCATGTCATCGAACTCGCTTTGTTGCTGGTATTCGTGGGTCCACCTTAAACCACGAGGATCAGATCGAAGTCGGAGGAACATCGAGGCCCCGGGATGAATCTCTATAGAAACCTCATCGAGTCCCTAGCATCGGCTGCAAACGACCAATCTATTTGGAAAATTCTTACATTGTGACTTACAGCCGAGACGCAAGAGAATCCTTGTTTCGGTGATGTCATGGATGGTGCCGGTCCAGTGATTGACCCATCATGAAGGCATCGTGTATGCCGATTGCACACGAAATTTGGAAGTCGCGACGGGTATCAACACCTGGTACGCTGGATGGATTAGGATAAACGAGCGAGGTTGAACTAGATGAATATCAGTCTCCTGTCGACTGAAGCGATATCGGAAGCGCATCGTAGCTCTTTGGTTTCCTGCATCCAGGTGAAGCGAGACCCCACAACCCTTTCTTGTTGGGGAATTCATGTGAAGCTACAGAAACCAATCAAAAGTGTGCAGTGAGAGTTGCGTTGATCGGAATGTCGAAGAATTGAGCGTATGTGATTTGTATTTTACGTCAGAATCCGGAGTCGAAGATGAATAGAAGTTGTGAAGATGGCAGGATTGCGGTGCTTGCACACTGCGGAAGGAATTAATCGTCATCTTTGAGACAGTCCTCAATGCCTGCTTAACTTCATTTTTAGACGTTAGATGCGGCTGCTGTGAAGGCGGAGGGGTTTTGTGTAAGTTGGATATGGCGTGCGTTCGAGGTTTGCTTGAATGGATTCCGGCATGCAAGTGTGATGGAAATCTGACTGCGGTTAAATCAGTTGATGCTGGAGCCAATTCCGCACATTCGCGACGTTGTTTGAATTTTGTAAGCCAGTCGCGCGTTTCGGATTCTCGGCATCGGCGATGTTCGTCTTTAAGGGTCAGGAGCATGTGGGAGGGTGAAAAGAGAGCTCACCAGGACAATGTGATAATGCGGCAATGGTGCTCAGGGAAGAGAAATGTCGCTTGCCAAGTAGATTCGTCGTCCACGGAGACTGCAACAGGTAGTGAGCTAGACCTGGAATTTTACGCCGTTAGAAAAAAAGTGGAGGAGCTGGTTCGACGCGTAGGCGAGGTGCTGGCCTCGTCTGACATAGCCGAGAAAAAGGCCAGGTTAGCGGACCTTGAGTTGCAAGCCTCACAAGATACGCTGTGGGATGACCCTGATGCAGCGCAGAGAACTCTGTCTGACCTTGCGGAAGTGAAAGAGAATTTGGATTTGTTGCAGCAATTCGAAAATAAGGTGGAGGAGGCGCAGTTGATAATAGAATTGATGGGGGAGAAGGAAGGCCCAGATGGTGGATTGGTGCAGGAAGCATCGGAAATTGTGTCATGGCTTAGTAATGCCTTAGACAAATTTGAGCTGGCGAAGCTTTTGTCGGGGCCGTATGATCGAAGGGGCGCGAGGGTAACTATATCCGCAGGAGCTGGGGGTACGGATGCTCAGGACTGGGCTGAGATGCTGTTACGAATGTACTCGCGGTGGGCCGAAAAGCAGGGTTACACTGTGAAGGTGATGGAGAAATCGCCTGGGGAAGAGGCCGGCATCAAGTCGGTGACCTTTGAAGTAGATGGGCGATTCGCATATGGTTACCTTGCCAGCGAAAAAGGCACTCATCGACTTGTAAGGCAATCACCATTTAATGCCAAGGGTCTGCGACAGACGAGCTTCGCAGGAGTAGAGGTGATGCCAATCTTCGAAGAGGAGTCGTTGGATGTAGAAATTCCAGAAACAGAGCTGGAGGTCACTACAACCAGAGCCGGAGGCAAAGGTGGCCAAAACGTAAACAAGGTAGAAACGGCTGTGCGCATTGTTCATATTCCGACGGGGATTGCTGTTCGCTGCACCGAGGAGCGATCACAGCTTGCGAACAAGATCAAAGGTCTTAGATTACTGAAGGCCAAACTTCTTGTGATTGCTCTTGAGCAAAAGGCGTCGGATTTGAAGGAAATTCGAGGCGATGTGGTGAAAGCCGAATGGGGTCAACAAATTAGAAACTATGTGTTCCATCCTTATAAGCTCGTGAAGGATGTCCGAACGGCTACCGAAACGTCAGACGTAGCAGGTGTCATGGACGGTGAGTTAGGTTCTTTCATCACCGCTTTTTTGCGTTGGAAGACCTTGAGTGAATCTAGTTCAGCTCCGAGTTAGTCCATTCTAGCACCGCAATTTTGACCTAAATTGTGTATTTTGGAGTTTGAGTGAAATTTTGCACTCCAGAGCGGTAAGGAATTAGGTAGGGATTTGTCGAGACATTCCAAGGCATGATCTCTCTTCTATGTAGGAATGAGTGTTATTTAAAGGCAATTTTTCAGTTGTACATCCATGTTTGGAGCTCTAGTTTGGACATGCTTTGTGTTCAAATAGCAGTGGACCCAGCTCGAGAAGTAATTGGAGGACCCGTTTGTGTAAATTCTGAAATTCGTTTTGGATGGAGCTGAGAACCGGAACGCTTCCTGCAGCGCACAGCTATTACTCTGGTTGATTTGAGCTTTCGTGACATGCTTTTGCTATTCATGGGTGAAGGCATGCTTTGATAAATGGCGGAGAGGTGAAGATAGGTCTCAAGTGAAATCTCTAAGCTGAATCTTGAACTTTTGTACTATGCAAACACCGCTTTTATTTTACACGGTGTAGTTTTGGTTTCTGAAGCGTTTTCTCCACTCCATCAGAAGCAGACAGTTCCTGCTACACGTCAGAAGCTTACACAAATCTTGTAATAGCGCCATTACATTGGAATGCAGCAATCCTTCAGAATTTAAGCTCCCTGCACATGATTCTCGAATTGCATGTCGAGATTCTCGAACTTGTCATCTGGATGGCGTTCTAGCACCTACATAAACTGCAGATGCTCCTGCTATTCTTTGCTGAATCCTGTGAAGGGGAGGTGCCGATTTAGGAAGGATGTTCAAGTGATGAAGCCTCTTTGATCATGTCTTCACATACAAAGATCCAAGTAAATTTACTGTACTATAGTGGTCCAATTTTAGAATCATGTATTAGGGTTCACATCACTAGCGAATTTAGTTATGCTTTGTTGCAATCATTTCCTTCATTTCAGTTTCAAGTGTAACCCTACAACTGCACGACCTACAACAAGCCTCAAGCCCGTTATGACTCAACAGTCTTAGGATAGTGTTTTGATAAACCTCAAGACCGCCCACCTTCGAATACGGACGTGTCTGCCAGAAATGATTAAGAAGTGCACAGCATCCTCTAATCGAACGAACCAGGACAACAATTTCAATCTCAGTCAACTCAGATTCGCGGCATGGGAAGTAGTTGACGAGTTGCAGTCGAAGGCAAATAATAATCAGCCAGAATCAGGAACATCTCGAATGATCGCCGTAAAACCCCCTCGCTTGTAGTAAAGTAGTCTTCCTCTCTGCTAGGTTGTTGTTCCCTTATGGGAAGTGTGGTGATGCGGACTTCCAGCCCAAATGGCCCTGGACAGAATACTGGTCAAGTTCGCACCGAGGTAAGATATCTTATGGATGGTCATTCTAGTATTCTACGGGAGTTCATCAATTTCAAGGCTTCAGGCAGGTCCACGACCCTGTGGCGTGCCCTGTTAACCCACGGGTAATGACCCCAGGTGAAGATACTTCGACTCCAAAAGCGAAAGAGAAATGGAGAAAGAGAGGCATTGGAGTCATTGTCTCGTTAATCCTAAACACCATATCTTTAAACACCGAACAAAAAACCCTTACACATAGATTTTATTTGCTGTGAGCAGCACATGTTCACTCCCACCTACACGACCAGATATTTAAGAAACTAAGAATGGGGTTGAACCTGTGCGAAAACTAAAACCTTATCTGTACCAGTACTAAACCCGGAAGCTTATTAGCGGTGAGTGGCACCTGAAGCCTCTTGTGTGCAACCACGTCACGGACAAGATTATCTAAAGCCCCGTTAGAGTAACGCAGCCTTCCGATAGCTATTGAATGATCCAGAGACGGAAAAAACTGGACCTCGAAAAGGATAGCCCAAATAGCGTCATATCTCTCATCACATATACTGTGGTGGGGTCATGACATGGGTCTCAAGACGCCTCGTGTCCTCACAATCTTAAGGCTACCTTTGATGACTGGACCTTGAGCTTTCTAAAGATCGTTCAGCGAGAGTAGGCTTTCGAGTGGAGTGATGACAAATTTATTTCCCTTTCTGATGACAATGCGCGATGAGTGATATAATTGGATGGTGGAGTTGTTCCGACTTTCCTTTTGGAAGACAGTTGCTCTGTTCCTTCTTTCTCACAAAGCATTAGAGCTTCCCCATCTCATCTTAGGCTGTGTTTCAGCTATCGGCATGTTTTCGATCTGCATTTTCGTTGCTCTCCATATTGAGTAGTCTGTTTCACTTCGGGTGTGTTATGGCGACACGAGGTTGTGTTCATCCGGTCGTGGAGCTGTAGGAGGCCTTTCTTGGTAATTGGTGGCGCATGTGCGAAGACGGACTTATGAAAGAGCTAGTCCAGGATAATTTAGCTCCCCCGGGTCTGCTTGGTAACAATGCGGAGGCGGGGTTCGAGCATTGCGGTGTTCTGATTTGCAAGGAAATGTATTCATAAACCAGGAGTTCCGTGGTTAGTTTCGGGAACTTCCGGGTTCTTGAGGTATGTAGAGTGGGCGCACTATTTGAGACGCCGAAGTCGTCTTCCAGCTTGCCTCATATATCTGCAGATGTAGATGAAGTGAAGGGAAATCATTTTGCCATGGCCAAAAGCCAGAAACGCCGAAATTGGGCGGCCAAGCTTGTTCAAGTGCAAAGCGGGCCAGTTTTCTCCACTAAACCAGGATGGGCAGCACAGAATACAGAGGGTGCAGATTTTGGAGTGAGGAACAGGAAGCCCGAGGTTGTGAAGCATCGAGGGCAGGGTGGCGTCAGAATCGGGAATGTAAGAGTGTCCTTTCCAGTTAAATTTGGAATTGGGTTTGGTGTGGGCGGCATAGATTCCGGTGGGGTCGTGCTTCGTCTTGCCCGTGTTGAAGGAGGCTGCGGCGTGCAGAATGATTATGTTTTCGACAACATTGTCAGGTACAAACTCCAAGTCTGACATTTTTCCTCAGCCTTAAATCTCGAGTTTCTCTCTGAACTCTTGCCAAGTTCTGAACCTGAATGTGGAGAAATCACCATCTTTATAAGAATCTCTAACGAGTGAATAAATTAGATCAGTCCCTCATTTGAGAGCAGCATGATATACAGGAGAGCAATCTTGAGAGTAGTGTAGGCCAATGTAGACTTTGGTTTCGTTAAATTTTGTGGCCAAGCAAGAAATCTGACAGGTAATTGCAAGAAGGCTTTTGTTGTCCACAGAGATTTTTTTCAGATGCAATCCGAAGAGTGAGTGTTGAACACGGTTGTGAAAACAGTTTTGGATTCCAGCGATCGAAGTTAAGCCTGTTTTTAGAACTCGATTGAAAAGTAAATTTAATTTGTCATGTGCTCGCATTCTTACTTGTTCAGCTCGGGGATGAGACGAAGGAGTGGCATGAAATTGAATTCTGCGGGTAACGTTCTGAATGCTGCCAGCGTCCTCCTTCTTTCGCAGGTGGGGCTAATAGTTTTATTTATTGAAATTCTTGAAATCTAGATGGAACTGGGTGGAGGATTTATCTAACTCACACTTACACATACAGATAAATATATATATATATATATATATATATATATATTTAACTGGCAAGGATCGGGTGACTTAATCAGCCGCTGGATGCCTTAATATCATTCTATTTACAACTGGAACTTATTTAGTCCTCTTTCCCAACTCCTGTGACAAATGTAGGCATTTTGCGGGCCAGCTGCAACGGTTGCAATGAGTTGCCTGGCTGTGGCGGGCTTCATTCAAGCTCTTGTGCCCCATGTCATGAGATTTTTCGCTCTCCAGTATCCATCAAGTTCAATGATAATGATACAAGAATCTTTACCATCTTCAGTGGAGGAATTCTCAGCAGCTTCTTTACTGCTATCCATCGGGATACCTCTACTGAAGTCGCATAACCGACAGCTTTTTGTAAGATTCAGTTTCTGAGACTAAAAATGCTTTCTTGTATGCTATTTTATAAGCTGCATTTGGTTTTTTTCATAAAATATTTGTGAATTTGTTGGCTACGTCCTTAGTTTGCACATGTACCCAATCATCAGGAAATTTAAGCCTTGCAGTAAATTGGATAACTCTGGGATTAAGAATTGCTACGTAAGAGACTTGGTCGATAGTATTTTGATGAAATTACCAAAGTAATCAGTGCGACAAGTGCACTAGCTGTTTACATACCGCTGATCATGCATACCGTTTGCATATGCTCAGGAAACACTTCGGTGTGTTGGAGCGGCTATACCTGTTGGAATAGGCTATGCGATAACCACTAACCAAGTTAAAAAGCTGCCGAGGGGAGGATTCAGAGAAGGAGAAATGATGTGGCGCCAGCGTCATCGATGGGCTGCACGACGTCTGTGTGGTCTAATGACCGAGTTTCGAGAGTAAAGTTCTATAATCCTTGATCACCTTCACATTGAAACTTTTTAGATACACCTGCGTTTTACTTGGGTCAATTTATTAACGTTTACAACACCAAGACGCGAGACTTCTGTTGAGGACCTAATTCTTTTTTAGTGGTCGTGCATGTGGGCTTGTATGAGTGCATATATATATATATATATATATATATATGCGCGCGCGCGCGCGCGTGTGTGTAGAACAAAAGAAGGGTGATGTCCTGTTTGACTATTTGACCTTGCTTTATTATTCATCGTTTAAACCTTATAGAATCGATTTGTTCTTGTGTAGGCCATCTTCGCTTGGTTGGTTAGTCGACTTCATTGAGAAATCTACTACCATTTCAGGAACAAGAGGATTCATGTCAAGATCGTCTTTACTGGATGCTAATCAACAAAGTCTACTCATTATGTCAACCCCTATGCCTCTCTGCTTCAAATCGAGAGAGACCTGCTCACATCAAATGGAAGCTGTAAAGGAGATTGTCGTCTCTACTCCACCCGATATTATGAAGAAGGTACTTGAATTGTCCGATGTACCCTAAAAAGTCATTTGTTCCAGTACCTCTAATGTAATACATGAGAAGTTATCATCTGCAATTGGAGGCCCTTATGATAACTTGTCCTTCATGCTTCAAAAATGTTTTTTGTGTCCAATTTTCATGAGTTTACAATGAAGGCAATCAACCAAAATTTGACGTCTCGGACATGTGTACAGGATCCAAATGACGATCTGGCAATCATGGATTCTTACAATTACAATGGCAGTATTGAACACATTGTCGGTTCACTTCCAACAAATGACTGGGAAGTGGTGGAAAGTACTGGAACAAATGACTTTTTAAATGAGCTTAATGAAGTCTACTTTGGCTGGAGAGGCTTCAAACAGAAGTGGTCTTTATTTTCCAGAGCTTGCTGGCTGGCTGTAATTTTTATCCCTTTTATAGTGATCGCTTCTCTATTATACTTTGTATCGACGTTTTTATCTGCAACTTGGGCGGAGTATATTCAGTGCATGGTGTGGGTGATGCTTCGATATTGCTTGGAGCAAGGAGGAGCTGCGTTTATTAAGTGGGGTCAGGTATCTGTCTTCCTCAACACTTTGAGCCTTCTAGAGCCTCTGTTTGACCATAATAATTGTTTTTTTTGTAACGGAACATGACATTTGTTGACGAGTTGGCTTGATTTCTCTTTTATGCAGTGGTCTTCGACAAGAGAAGATCTTTTCCCTGAAAGCTTGTGTCGGATTTTAGGCCGCCTTCACGATCAAGCTCCAACTCACAGTTATAAGCAAACTCGACTTGCTATCTTGAAGCATTTGAAGCGTCCTATTGAAGATATTTTTGATTATTTTCCGTCAAAACCATGTGCTTCTGGTAGTATAGCGCAGGTAAGATAATTAATGTCTACATCTCCTGATAATTTTCCGGGGCGTATTCTATGCTGTGACATGGTGAATCTGGGCCTGTAGTGGGGACAAATTCTATTCAAGTTATTTTGCATGTTTGTGACTTGAACATACTCTTGTTGCCCCTGGTTGCCATATTGTAAATCTATTTAGCACAACAGGAATCGGATCACGTAGGCGTGAAGGCAACTTCGCTTTAGTCGGTTTTGAGCATGTCTCATGAGGTCAGTCGAGCAGCTGGACAATGGGATGACTAATAAATTCTTGCTGGACTCATCAGGTTTACAAAGCAAGGTTGAAGGATCGTGGCGATGGCACGCCCTTAAATGTAGCAGTGAAGGTGCGTGCTGTACTCGGTGACAAGCCTTTGAGTGATAATTCTTTTTTCTCCTAACTACCCTTTTGATGCGTTACATGTAAAGATTTACTGCGCCCGTGGTCGGTATTCTCCTTCAGCTACAAACCTCTTAGTTCCAGTTGTATGAGTAGTTCTAGGTAGGATGCAAAGGAGGTTTTCTTCCCACTAAGTATCATGGTTGATATGACCACCCAGGTGCGACACCCTTCTGTCGCATTGAGGATTTTCCAAGATTTCCAAATAATGTCTAAAGTTGCGGACGTTGTGCAAGGACTTCCTGCTCTTCGATGGTTGAACTTAAGACAGAGTATTGATCAATTCTCACATACGATGACATCCCAGGTCAGTAATTACAAAAATCTATTAAGTGCATAACTAATCAATTTTGTGTTTCCTAATTTCGAACCAAGTTTTTGTGTTTATAAACCCAAACTCCTCATCAAACTAGCAGATCAGAGAACACCAGTTCTGGCTGTCACTCGACTATCATAGACAATTTCACACCCTTCTGAATTGAGATGGTAGAAGACCTACTGTGCACTGTGCGCTAAATATACATATTTTAGTCCTCGTGATATAAAGTTTGGGAGGGGGATGTCAATGCTGTGATTGGCTCATGCAGGCAGATTTGCGGGTGGAGGCTATAAATTTACAAAGATTCTATAACAATTTCCAAGGATTACATCAAACAGTAGTATGGCCGAAGCTCATACCTGATCTTGTGAGTTACTATCTCTTCGAAACTTGCTTCTATTGGTTTAATTGTCTCAGCATTTTTGTACTATAAATCTCTTCTATTGTTGCCAGGAAGTGAACGTGTTGAGATCAATATCTTTGTGCAGGTTTCTGAAGGCGTAATTGTGGAGACTTTCGAGAGAGGAAGTGCATTACATGAATTTCTACGAAAAAGATCCTCACTTAACACACAGGTTAGTGTAGAAGCGACTGGACCAATATAGAAAATGTTGTTCGCAGGTTTTTGTGCGTTAGAAAAATTACTCACTGAGCTTATCGTGGTCTATGGCCATGTAATAGATTGCTGCAGTTGGCGTGGATGCGTACCTCAAGATGATTCTCACTGATAACTTCGTGCACACAGATTTGCATCCTGGCAATATACTCGCAAGGATGGCAGGTACGAACCGATGTTCTTAGAGACGTTATCTCAAAAGAGTTCAGTTTCGTGATAATCTTGAGAGTTATCATACATATCCGTGATAAGCCATTCTCTATCGACACTACAAACTGTCCAGAGAATCGAACATGAGTGATGTTTTCAAGTGCATTTATCCGTAGAACCATGTGATTTAAAAGAACGAAAAAAAAAAAAAAAAAAAAAAAAAAAAAAAGCCTATGAATCAGCATATTTGAATATGTACAGTTGTGTATATAAAATAATATCCAGGTTAGGACACAGAGAAAAGTTAAATCCCTTTGCATAACTTCCTTATTGGCATAGACGGATAATACAGGAAGCACTCATTTGTGCGTGGCATGTGTAAACTGCATCCCAGAAAATGACAAAGGAGAGTGCATAGATCAGTTGCAGTTGGTGCTGCTTGATTTTGGCCTAGCCGAGGAGTTACCACCTCGAGTGCGATACCACTTCCTTTCCTTTATCATGAACATTGGTGCAGCTGATGGAGAGCGTGCGGTGAGTGGAGTCATCACTAAACTAGTTGCTGTATTAAGTCCAGACTCAAATCTCTTAATTTTGTGAGGACCTCTGTTATTTTTCTCTGGTCATGCACACATAGACTCTATGCGACCATTTGTTAATGCCAACTTCTTGAAGTTCATGTATTTTGATAGTCGCATGGTTTGCATTTTGACTTGCAGGCACAACATCTACTAAATTTTTCCTGGCCAAATCCACAACGATGTCCTAAGCCCGAGCTTCTTGTTGCTGATATGAAAGAGCTATTTAGATGTGAATGTGACTTGAGAGTTCGACCCATAGACCTCAACTACGTTTTGAAACAGGTATTCTTTTCCTCACTCATTAGTATGAAGATCAGGATGTAGCTTTGGCTTCTTTATCCTTCCACTCATGGAATTCTTTGTATGTGGCTTCTGACGTAACTTTCTGTGGTAATTCGATGTATGTTTCAGGTGCTACAACTTTGTCGAAAGCATGAAGTTACAATAGATAGCTCGTACGCATCCCTTGTTGTTGCTGTCTGTGTGCTGGTTGGATTTGCTCGAAGCTTGGACCCAGAGCTGTCCATCATGGATGCGGCGGTACCTTGCCTGTTCTTGTACAATCTCATCGGTCGGATTCCTGGTGGAATTTACGGATAATTCGCAGCACGACCACGTCTCAACTATAATCATCACTCCAAATCTGCAGTTTCACGAGTTCATGCGAAACGGCAGCTTAGTTGGTTATGCCAAAAATACTTGAACAGGTCCAGATAGCGCAAGATATTTCGACATCAGAGGAGTCAGACTTCGCCCCGATTTGAATGAAATCTCATTTCGTGACTCTTCCTTTTCTTGACTCGGCTGCAAGCAGACCATGTAGAATCACAGGTGTGGACCTTTCCATCTCTGTAAGCATAGAGAGTATATGTTACATCTGCTAAATCCAAGTCCTCGATCAAGCACATGAGCATGATATGTGGAAAAATTTGTCGACTACTATTTGCGACTTAATTTTGGATAACATCTAAAATCACAGCTAGGTGTAAATTATTATTGAGTCAGCGAGGAGAGCTGTCTTGGTATCTTGGAGTTATCCTTTACCATGTGCAGTGACATGTGTATCCCTTCGCTCAACAGCTGCACCCAAGAACAATTTTCGTTCTAATCGAATGCAATATTTCTATCTACATCTAGTGTGTGTCACAATGATACGTATTTGCATATTGGGATGTTGTATTATTCATGACAACTGGAGTAGAATAGTACATACAATTAACTAGTATAAATGCTTCGTCCATTATATCATTGAGGTTTAATGTTCAGGATTGCCAATGATTGTATTGGTATTGAACTGGATACTAGCTTTGTCTGTATGTGAAGCGGATTATCTTTGGGCTATCATTCAAAGTGTAGACCTTAGCTGTTTTAGAATGTTTTTGCAATCGAATAAATTATAAGATGATACTAATAGTAAAAACTGTTCATTTCCTTGCGCCAGTTCTATTGAATCCTGAAAAGGAAATTTGTTATATCATTTTTGCATCTTCCAAAACCTAGCAGAAAAACACGAATCCATTGAGTAATGTAAGATTATTGTGAAGGACATGATTTGTTACTTAGCAAGCCTTAAGAATGGTTTTTTAACAAAATTCTTGGATTGCCCAATATTATAGTTTCAATCTTGGATAACTTAAACTTCATAACAATTTACAAGGCTACTACACAGAGATAGTTGTCCGAGGAATTTTCAATATTAATTTCTCTTTAGGTTTGTCATTTTCAATTATATTCTCAAGTCTATTTAATCATGTCAGAATTTGGAAAAGACGTAAAAAGCACTTTGTCTGGGAATATTAATTTTTAAATCCTAAATAATTTTTTTTGCGAATTCAGTGACTGATTAGAAAGTATTCCTAATACTGAAATTAGTAATACAAAGTATAGAGTTGTGATAGCAGCCAAGAAATCATGGGCCCCCGGTAATTTCATGTTTCTGTTTATGGGTTAAGTATAGAGATTCTCAAGATCCAAAATTAGACTCTCCTTGCCAATCCCACAAACAGAAACATGAATTTACTGTTGGCCCATAATTACTTGGCTGCTACATTAATTTAACCCCTAATATCTTCACTGTGGTAGTTTTTCTCAAATAATCTTACTTTCTTTTGAAAAATACAGACTTATTTCATGTAGGATTGATTGCTTCACAACTACTGTGTCCCATTCAGGCAATCATACAAATTTTTAAAGATTGTAACTACCAGAATTTTTGAGATCAAGGTCGTCTGGGTTGGGAGTAATACATTTTTTAAAAATTAATTGAAATTGAATTTTTTTAAAACTAATAGAAATTGAATTATATATATATATATATATATATATATGTGTGTGTGTGTGTGTGTGTGTGTGTCAAAAACTGCCCTACATCTGCTATCAGCACCTCAGCTGCTTTTATTATTCCCTATAAAATGCACACCTCATTCGCGCCACTATTCTTTTTCCACCTAGCTTCGAAGTCGCTTTTGCAGGAGTGGTTGAAACCTTGACTGAAGTCTCATTTTGGTTATGCCAAACAGTGAATTCAACAACCAGCAATAATACCTTCACAGAACATGGGTACAGTAACATACTTAAAAAGAAGACTTCAGTCAAGAAACTGTCAGATTTAAATGATTGCAAATTGCCACTGGAAAAATTTATTGCAACTATGAAGAGTACAGGAGAGCACAACCTACACATTAAAATCTGCTTTCCTGTACTCTTCATAGTTGCAATAAATTTTTCCAGTGGCAATTTGCAATCATTTAAATCTGACAGAATCCTGAACAAAATTAAGCCTTTCATCTGCATACAAAACCAAGTGCGGAGATTGGTAAAATACTACCTAAGTTTCAAGAAGAATAAACATGTGAAACCAATACAATTCATACTTAGAATGGAGTACTAATGGAACCTTAACCTTCACATAAGTCTACAAAATAGTGTACAAGGGCTCATTCGCCGTGCTTCATCCTCTCAATGTGGCACAGTTGCCGGAGTTTTGTGGGGACATACCAGATGCGAAGCTTATCATTCTGGTTAAAAAGGTCATCTATGTCCCACTCATTCTGCCTTGCTAATGTAACTAAAGGGAAGTAGCACGCCTGACACCACGCACCTACATTTTCTCCCCGCTCTTTGAACTCTTTCCTAAGATTATTTGATGTCTCCACGTCCAAACAGTGCAATGCATAGCAGTGCACATAGTCCCTCATTTTCGGCTTATTGATGTAGCCAGCCCCAGTGAGTTTAGCGTGACGAAAAACCTCGTTGGTGACCTACATTGTAACTCACATGTATGCTCATTGCAGCGTGATTTCCAGATATTTCAACAGATGAAGAAGTCATAAATGCGACTGCAATTAATAAAAGCTACTCACAACTCGAATAACAAAAGAGAAAAAAAATAAAGAAATAAAGAAAAATAAAAATAAAAAGAGAGAAAGAAAGAAAGAACGAAAGAAAAGAAAGAAACTTAAAGTGTAGTGCAGCCAGCATTTCATTTATCTTGTTAAGCTAAAACATGAACAGATGGGTTTAAGTTCGATAAAATTGTCCATAGTACATACCTTGCTTGGACATTTTTCCCCTTTCTCTTTCGCAATGTGCTGCACCTCTTCCAGAAACTTTCCGCATTGTTCATATAAATCAAACAGATAATCCAAACCGTTTTTCTTCCCTTTGGCAGGTTCCCCAGGCTCTGTGACAATGAAAGGATGTTCACGAGGCCTTTCCTCTCCGTCATCTCCGACTTCCTTCGACCGCCTTTTCCTTTGTCTTCTTTTAGCAGCCTTTTTCCCCTCACTGTCACTATCTGGATCAGTCAGACCCAGTAGTCCCAAAGCTTCCAAAGAACCATTGCCTGGATTTCATAAGGTGTATAATGATTAAGCCACATGATACGAGTCCACAGCAAATTTAAGGTTTGCAAGTCACATGATTATCTGGGAGTTGCCTTCAAGCTTAACTTACATAAAAGTGACCACAAAAACCACAGAAAACAACGTACTTACCATCCTTCAAAAGTAAACCATCAGATGGCTCCTCTAGCCTACGTTTCTTTTCATTGCTTAGGGCAGCCATATCCATCCGCTGCTGTTCCAGCTCCTCCACAACCAATCTTCGTTTGGCCCTAACAGCAGCCTTAATACCAAACTGTTCACCCATCAAGAGATCCAAGTGATATTCCTCGATCATAGATTTGATTACAAAATCAACTTCTTCGTCTTTCATGTTGATCAGCGTGCTCAAGGTGAAACCCATCTGTCCCATGACTGTAACAGTTGACGGTTGAACCCCAAAGTCCTTGAATAGCTCCTTCAACCTTCGGCTTTCTCTGCCGGCCAGCGCTGTTCCATCAGGCCTCTTATAAAGCAGGGCTGTCGGCTCAGCCTGGACCATATCGAAATGGGCCTGCTAAACCAAATATCATGCCACCAGTTGCAATCACTTGATGAGATACTCTTTTAGTGTTACCAAAGGCACGACTCGATGCAAGTAGAACACACCATATCAAAACTACCTGTAATGCTAAACATATGTGAAGAGAAGAATGTTCCGAGATCATTAAGCTCCAGTAGACACGAAATTTGTCCACTTGATCAGCACTACATCTTCCTAAGAATAGCTAAAGTATCTTCAGAAACTTTTTTAAGTATTCGTCAAGACTTGGTAAGACAGAAAGAAATACACCTTGTTGAAAAGAGCAGCCCAATATCAGCAGCCTGAACCTGTAGCTACTGTTGTATTCTCAGATTTTGAGAAAATCTATTCTAGTCTCGTCATGATAATAGTGTCGCTGTTAAGAATACAAACCCAAACCGTACCCTGATCAATGTGCTCTTAAATGCCTGCTTCTGTAAATTATTTGTCATTTTGCCTTAAATCTACAAAGTCAATGACGAGTAAGTAAAAGTTTCTCACCGCATTTTCGTTCCAAATCCCACGAGAGCTCTATACTCCTAAAAAAAGGGGCATGGCGAAAGAATTTCGCTTGTAGAGAAAAAAAATCGAAAACCCAGACCAACGGCAGTAAACAGAGGGTTACGTCTTGACTTTGTGAATAATAATAATAATAATAATAATTGCGAAAACGATACCCAGCACCGAGTAACCAATAGTTGCAAACAACTTGTTTCCAATAGCACCAACCTCTCCGCAATCTCAAAGGACTCTTTCGCCTTCGATCGTCCAACTCAAAGTATATCTACAATAAAATTGCCATAAAAATTACTGGAGGTGCGTGACGACAACAAACAGGCTATCGCGCCGACTCCAGTATACCTCCGATACGATATCCTGTAAACCCTCTCCGTACTGCCCTAAGCAACATAGCGACAGCTCAATTGCTACCTCACCACCCGATACAAGAACCGGGAGCCCAGATTGTTACCATATTGTGCACAGGGCAGTCGTCCACCATTCAAACCCCACGGAAACAGTCCAGCCCAATGCCAAAGCAGGTCGCACCTCCTTCCGCTACCCACAAGCCGAATTACACCACATCACCCAATGTCCATCAACAGCCAATGCAACATGCCACCTGGTCGCTGAAGCAACAACTGATTCTAAACAATCATCTACCATAACCTAACCCTAACCATCAATCGCACAGGAATCACTTCCTGAAGCCTGACCCCGTTCTGCGCCACGGCAGTTGCAACGCTCACGATTGCCCACATGATGACAGAATTGATAGCCCAGCTGCGAGTCCGTTCGGAAGGAACCCAAAACGGAATTCGAGCAAGACGACGACGTGAGAGTGCAGCTGGAATGCAGCCGAGCAATGAGGGCCAAAGAATACTTTGGAAAAGATTGCATATTACAAGAGAAATCTCGTGAGAGAGAAGAGAAATCCCGAGACCCAGAGGCAGAGCAGTCAGCGCGGAATGCAGGGGAATCAATCAGCTTCTTCGCCTCCAATCCTCGGAACGGATGCCGAGGTCTTGGGTTTATTTCATATTATTGTCTCCGGGTCTCAACATGATTCCGTTATCGTGGTCGCACTCACTCACTTGCCGGGCTTCTATTTTGATGCACCCGGGTATCAATGGTAGTTGGTCGTCGGGGTCGCACACGCTCACTTGATCGGGTGGAGCATGTTAATTAATTGGTATTGTGATAAAAACTTGATTTTTACCTTAAATATCTACATTCTAAGAATATTACTATGATTAATTTAAATTTAAAAATAAATAATTTAATTAAAATATGTATTTTAAAATTTCTTACTATAAACAAATTGTCTTGAACAAAAAAAAAAAAAAAAAACTTTATATTTATAACTATTTAATTTATACATGCTTTCAATAAATTGTATTTTTTCTTTCTACCATTAGTAAATTTAAAATACTTTAGCTGGATCATAAAAATCTGGTCTAAATTATTATAACTAGTTAAAAAAAGAAACTGTCCAACAATGTTCATGAAGATTACATTGATTTTATGAAATCTCTATAGTCAGTGTGTTTTTTTGTAAAAAGAAACACTAAAATACACTCAATAATCTTAATTTCAACTGTAATATTTTATTGGAATTCATACAAAAATTGTCTAGAAAAATTTGATCTTTTTGTATTAATGAAAGCACTACAGATTCAACGTTCTATAAGCTTTTAAAAATCTTATAAACTTTTTTACGTATCATTTAATTGTAAGATCTTATATAAAAAAATATGCTAATTTTTAAGAGGTAAAAGTCAAAAAAAAAAAATTAATTTATTTGAATTATGACTAGTCATCTTTTAATTTACACTATTCTAAATTTTATTAATTATCATGGATTTAGAATTAACAATACGAAATTTATTTATTTATCTGTATTCTGAATATTAAATTATATGAATGTGTATATATATACATATATGTAAAAGTTATCTTCAAACCATCTTGACAAAATTATAAAAAAAATTAATTATAATTATTTATGACACTAAATAGATTATGATAATATAAAGTTTATTAGATTTAATAATTATATATGTTTTTATATTATTATTATTATTATTATTCTAATTGTGTTGAATTTATAAGTATGAAACAAAATATGTATAATAAAGAATGTAGCTATAAAAATTAATATGTCAATTAAAAGAGAAGAGAAATATTACGACATTGAAGAAAGTTTGCAACAATTATCTAATTATTATTATTTATTAATTTTAAAGCTAATTTAATACCGACATGAAAAAAAACAAAGAACATATTAAGAATATGTGTTTTTACAGTGCGTGTTTCAAACAAAAATGAATTAAATGATGAAACATGCAACAATGAAAGGAGATTGTGCAATAATGCCATTAGTGTTAACATAAAATAAAGTGAAATAGATTAAATTAAACTCCTTGTCAAGTAAAGTGAGATATATATTGCAACTGCAAAGAAATGGCTACCAAGCTTTTGAAATGGTTTGTAAAGAAAGCGTGGCCTCATGCCTGTAAGCAGTGGATGATTTAAGCAACTTCAATACAGAATGATCATCACCAATACCTCTGGAACGCAGAAAACCATAAAAGAGTCGTGCTTGGTCATTGTTACACACAACTGGGTCAAAGATTCTAAGTAATGGACACAAGAATCTGGGTTCAGAGAGGTGAAGGGAGTGTAAGGCTGGAATTGCCAAGGCTGGTGGATCGGAGCTGCAATGCAAAAGTTTGCCTAATTCATGATAGAATTTATCAAGGACTCAAACACACACACACACTAAACATCCTGTGTCAACATCCAGAGGCCAGGCAAGGAAGGTCCAATAGAGCAAGGCTTTTGTAAGCACAACTGCATTGTAAAGACTGTGAATCACAAAGGATGTTGCCAAGTTTCCATTCCAGGTGTATGCGGTTCCCAAGCAACACCCAACACAAAAAAGGGGCAGAAATCCCTGTGGGGAAAGATGGCTCAAAGAGAACAAGAAGGCGCTAAGTAAGATCGCTAGTGGCCATCTCATGTAAGTCGCTAGAGACGAGAGTAGGAATCCCCTGTAAACATACTCTTCTAAAACTGGGGTGAGGCCGCAATATGCCATGTAAATTGCCACGCGTGCAAGCGGTGTGCTGTTTAGCAGACTTGTTAGAGCAGAGGACCCATTGCTTACCTGCGAACACGAATTTGTTTTCATGAAGTGAATGTGAGAAAAGCACCACTGATTTGGGCAACTGGAAGGACCATAACTTTAAAATGAAGTAGATGATAGTCACATGACTCTAAACGGCAGTAGAAACGATGAGGACATAAGTATCAAGTGAGACCAGAAAAATGTTTTTTGAGGGAGGAATAAGTCTTGGGAAGATACCTCGGTGGTTGAAACGCCTTGAGTGACGCTTGCCATTGCAGCCACTGCAACCAGAAGAACCAGCAGGCCAGTGGCGGACGCGGGTAACCAGCCCTTTTCCCTCCACACTTCATTGAAACGGAAGTTGAGAGAAGTGGGCACGGGACCAAAAGGCTGAATTGTGGAATTTATCAACCAAACTGTGCCCGTCAGTTCAAGTAGCTGAACAAACACTAAAGACACGGCCTGCAAACAGAGATGAGGACGTTATTGTTAAATCAAACCATCAAAAAGTGATTACACATGCATATAGAGCCATAGCAGATGCTATTTAACATCCTAGCAGATCAAGTGACTTCTAGAACTATTCCAGAAGAAAGAAAATCTCAGACTCTTGAAGCTCCCTGGATCCAAAAGCTCAATCGACAAACCCATGCAAGTCATTCACCAGTTTTGGTTTTCAATGATCTCCAGTCCATCATTCACAACGTTAAATACATCCAGAGCAAAGGGATAAACAGCAGATTGTATGAAAATAAGTGTTTTCATCATTTCCGAAAACATTGGTTTCCCATACAGCTTGAGTGCGCCAAGAACGAAGATAAAATTTCATCCGAGGGGATAAGTCACACAATTTTACTATACACACCTGTGTCTGCGGATCTAGCGACTGCTGAGGCAGAACCTTCGCAACAATGTCGAGGCCTCCGAGTCCCAAAGGTATGTGAAACACGGCCCAAAAGATAACCATGGTGGTGACCACTTCTCCAGCGCCCCATGGAACTGAGGATGGCAGCCTCGAGAATCCTTCTACCTACATACTTGTCACTGCAGAGTTGTAAAAAGAATGTAAATACACGAGAATTATACATTCACCAGTACCCTAACTTTTCTTTGCCTCGCATCCATTCAATAGTCCTTCCAAGTGCCAAAGCACATATGAATTTTTTTCAAAGCTCACGAGCAGAGTGTATAACGAAACAATCCTTGTCAAAGTGCCATTTGAGGAAGGATAGGAGATGAGATGGAACAGTTTAACAGTATGATTCACCTTCATGTATTGACCATATTGCATAGTGTTAGGACAACTTGAGATTAAATGCAACGTCATGTAGCAGATTCACATTCTATCATGAATCAAAGCATGTCAAGACACCTTAAACCCTAAGCCACTAATGTTGAAAAACAATCACAATTGAAGAATTCTTTTGCACTATAGTCTAACCAGTGAGATTCATTCGAGTTGGTCCATTTTTCAGCCCTCGATTCTCGATGTGTATAATGCCTAACTCTTACGAATTGTAAAAGACTGAATCATGTGTATTTTCAACACCTAGCCTGCATTGCTTCAAATTACAGAAAACCAGCAGATGTGATGTGTGTTGAATTTCACTTAACAACGATCACCGGAAAGGGTTACGAGAAGGGAGTGATATCTTGATGGCCGACACAGGATACAACAATATGCATCAAATCGCTCACCTGAGAAGATGATCCAACCTCACTCTCCACATCCTGCGATGAATCGCCCTCTGAGAAGTCATTCTCCTCGCTCACTAAATCCGTAGAATCTTTCTGACACCAACATACTCGTAACTCCTTCCCATAAACCGTTCCAGCCCGTCTAACGAACCCCAAATTTTCCGAAAACTTCTTGCCAAAACTTGAGCTGGGTAATTTCAAGGGCCAACGCCTAAGTGCACACGATATTCCTCGCATGGTGATGCCATGGTATTTTACAGATTCAGGAAAAACTGGAGAAACGAGCCCTGTTGTGAGTATGAAGGTGGACATTTTTGACACGATTTCCACCAATCTACTCTGCTCGATACGGCACAAGCCGATCGAAAATTTCTCAGTGATGGGTGATGCCTACGTATAAAATCCTTTTCCTGATGCCTGCATTCATCGAAAACCGCTGCTCCGATATGCGTTTCGTGCATCTGGATTGACGCGGTGTTACGGCGAAATTTGCAAAAGGAGAACGGATGGGGAAATCAACTTTTCTCATCCACTGACTCTTTTATCAAAGTGGATAAAAAGTGAGTGGTTATAGGAGATTGAACCGAGTTGGGGTTCCTTGAGGTTTCTGTGTAGGATTAGGCTCGCCAATGCAGTTTTGGTGGATGCGGAACCCCTCACGAGCAGCAGTTCCACGAGAGCAAGCAGAGGATTGTTGTCGGTTTCGAAGAGGAGAGCAGACATGGCGGCCCTGACATCCTCGCTCGCCTCCCTCACGATCACACCACTCTCATCAGCTGTCTCGTCGAGGTCCTCCGTGAGCAACAATGGCGCGTCGTTGCTGAGGATTGAATGCTCGTCGCACCCACAGAAGAAGTCGACTGCTGGCCACAACAAGACCAGGCCGAAGAAGAGTAACCCGTATGACAAGAACAGGCAGGGACCCACCGTGTACAAGAGGCTTCCGAAGCCACCACCCATCTGGGGTTTCGACACCTCAGACCTCGACCAGGCAGAGGTGGCCTCGGATGCCTCTGCCTCCGCTTGAATTCGATGAATTCAGTGCGTGAGGTTCAGTAGTTTCAGACGTTTGTAGGAATTATTCTCGTTTCTTGTAGCTGCATTCCTTATTGAAGAATTTGCGTTGCAATTGATATTTGTACTCGTGTTGGGTTTTAGCCACTTTGCGTGATGTAATGCATTGTGTCGTCATGTTGCACTACAGTCGCAGAGAGTTGTTGGTCACTGAGCGGAAAGGATACTGCCATTTTGTAGGGCTTCGACACTGGTATAATGCAAAATGACTCAATTCCTCTTTCGTGTTGCACAACTGTCAATTCCTGTGTTTCAGAGTCTGCCTTGATATTCTCTGCATTGCTGACTATTGAAGTTTTTAAGGTTACTTATAAGAAATCCGGTTATGGTTTTCTGGAGAATTACCTCTAGGATATAGCGCACGCAAAGACTACCCTACTAGTTGCCAATAATTGGTCACTGAATGTAAGACTTGTCGTGATGGGTGTCATTGGAGGAACTTTTATTGCTTACGACCTCATCCTGCTCTCGAGAAAGCTAGCAGGCGATGTCTATTGAGAATGTGTTAATTAGTTGGAAGAGAAATGGCAGATGTTGAAGGAAACCCTACCTGCTGTCGTTGTGGATGATACGAGGTGGCTATGCGTTTTGAAACCAGGCATAGGTTTCCACCATCTCCTTGTCATGCGACAGCGGAATGCACTTCAATTGAAGCTTCTTGCACCCTCTGGATGTAAAATTCTAACAAGCTTTCTCTTTTCTGACATTTCTGAAAGCAATTTCAAGCGTGATGATAATACTGTATTCCGATGTGCAAAAATTGTCGTGATTATAATTTTTTGTGTTATCTTTCTGCACTTCGAAACTTTTCTAACCGAAGCATTTTTCATGCACCATTCGGAATTGTTTCGTCATGGACATTGTGAGGTGTTTAACGTGTATAGGCCTAAATCATTCGTCTCCAACGTGCCAAGCACATCTGCTTGGCGACGAAGGATAGACTTCCAGTTGTGCTGTGTCTACATTAGGTTAAGTGTTACCTCTAGGCTGAGTTTCTGTGCTGATGTTTCGCAGTCCTGCAGTTGCACGTTTTCTACCATGTCAGAGCTGTGCAATAGGCTGATTCTCATGCTCAAATAAGCCTGAAGAATTTGGGAATACTAGAGGTTTGAGAGCAGCACCTCCGATAGTTGATTCTAAGAACATCACTTACAATGACAAGTAATTCTAAAAGCTCAACGAGCACTGGGATTTTAGACAGCTGCTTGCACTGAGTGAGAACAGTCGTCTTGTCTCAATGAAGAGTATCATTTGAACTAGTTATCCATATCAACTCTACTGTATGCAACAAACTGCAAGTCTTAACACAAGCAAATGGGGTGGGATTCATCCTTATCCTTCAACCTATTTTCGGCTTTCTCTCACATTAGAAACCCTAGAGGGATCAGGACTGTGATAGTAACTACTCACTGGAAACCAAGGACTTGAAGTTGCCGAGCTATGGAAGTGAACTTGTTATCCACATCAGCAACTGCCATGCATCATCGCCTCTGTTTGCTCCGATGAAGCAAATGTTGGTCGTGGATTGTGCGAGTTAGTTTCACTGTTGTGATGGTTGTGAACCTTCATGCCATGTTGGCTATGACCTAGAAGAATCTCTTACTGCAGTCCTCCTGTTCGTCACCGACAATGTTATTCTTGCTCCGTTTTTCTTCAATGGGGTGTTCTAGAAGACCTGAGGGACATTGAAGGCTTTCATTTCTAAGTTAAGCTCACAAGACAACAATTTTTTTGTATAAATGGAATATAGAAAGGTATTGCTAATGCCACCACAGTTTTTTCTTTTTCCACTACAATTTGCTATCCACTATATGTCATTACAGTTTTTGTTATTGCCACCACAACTTTATTTTCATTATCTTGTAAATCATTTTTTTACCAAAGTTAAATATAATTTCTATATAGTTTGAAAAAAAAGAAGATATTTAAAATTTTATCAATTTTTTGTATGGAATAAAAAGAAACTACTGGTGGTAGAGAGTTGTGGTGGAAGTAGCAAAAACTTGATGACATTAGCAACACCCTAAAGAAAGGGTTCAGATGAGAAGCAGTGATTACTTTCACAGATTTAGTGAATGTTTTACTGTTTGTCTTTATGCAGTTGGATATCCCTGTATATACTAGTTTGTCATGATATTTGGACTGAAATGTTGTGGTTTAACAGTTTGAAAACATATGCACATTTTTTTTAAACAAAAAAATGAACTTTGTTCCTAAATACCTTGTGAATTTCATCCTTTGTGTGAATAGTGGATGTAGTTTTAAATGATTCAGTCTGAGACTCAAGGTGATTGTAATTTATTTATTTTCTAAACAGAGGTATTGATATTGATCCAGAACTTCATTGAATTTCAATATCTTGACACATAGTTCATATTAATGCTTTTCATTTTATTTCTGTGAAGTGATTTAGTAAAGTTTTGAGTTTTTGAAATTCACAATTACTGGAGGAATAAAATTTTAATATCTTATAAAAAAGAATGATGCAAAAAGAATTTAATTCATATAATGTTAAAAAATTTACTTAAACTGATATTCGAGTCAACTTATTGTTTGTGGACATTAAACTTAGTTTCAATTGTGTATAATAATATTTCATGAATTTATTCACCAAATTAATTTAATCTTTAACTATCTTCTACCATTATGGATTCCAGTCTATAAGTCACTTAAATTAGTAAGTACAGAGTGCATCAATTTCTGTAATAAACATTGAATATTTATGATTTTTTTTTAAAACACATATTCTGATTGCAATGTTTGAATTTTCCCAATGCAAAAGACTTAACAATGATAACAAATCACACATGATGGCTAAAATGTAGTATTTAAAATTAATAGCATATTTACATATTGGACAATATTTAATTATCTATAAATAATGATACAATTACTACAATAAACACTGTTTGTTTTTCAAATTCCAATTACATCAACAATTATATATATGTACATACATATATCATAATAGTTTCAATAGAAATATAATAAAAAATTCAAAATAAGAATAATTCTTTTTAGAAAATATTAAATAATTTAATCTTAAAATCGTAATAATTTTTAATGTATATATATATATATATATATATATATATATATCATTTTTTTTATAAATGAATATATTGTGAATAAAAAGTGATTTTCTATTTAAACATCATTAAGGGAACCAACAAAAATAATATATAAACAAAAATATACACATATATGTATAAATATATATATATATATATATATATATATAGATATATATAGTTAAAAAATATTTAAAAAATAAATTGATTAAAAATAATTCAATCGGTTTTTAGAAAATATTTAATAAATAAACTTATGTAAGAAATATATTATGAAATTATAATTATTATTTGATATGAAATTGAATATGTGAACTAAAGATTATTGTGAATTTTGAAATAGCTTATTTTTAATAAGTTAACTATAATTGAAGCAAAATTTTAAATATTTTTATAGCATTATAGATACAAAAAGATAATAAGATGAGAGCATGTTATTAAGTTAATCTCAACTTATTTATCTTTTCAGGTTAATTCGAAAAACAAATAAAGCATTCAATTATAAATTTCTATAAATACATATATACATTTAAATAAACCAAAATAAAATATTGATAAATAATTTTTAAAATAGATCACAGTAGTGATAGTTGTTAATACATGATTTTAATTTTTGAAATGTAATAAATATTAGACTATTGGTAGACATTATGTTCTTTTACCATGTACAAAAATAATTGTTCAAATAGATATAAAAAAATATTTAACTAGAAATTTAAAGACATCTTAATAGATAAAATACATACACACACACATATCTATATATATATATATATATATATATATAGATATTTAATTTATTGTAATGAGTCCAAATCACAACCACTTATATTAATTTATATTAATGCACAAACATTAAGAGTCCTTTCTTTAAAAAAAGAAAAAAAGTATAGCTCATTAGAAAGAATGTAATAGAATAGCTCTTATAATAATTAATAATAGTTTGGAGCTTAATTTAGCATCCAGTGAGAGAAGCAAAAAATTAGCAAAGCCAAGATGAGATGAATAGGCCCAAATTTTTGAATCCAAAGATGTTATAAGAATGCATCTTAAGATTCAATTACATTTATTAAAAATAAAAACTAATGATACTATAAAAAGTCATATCATAAATTAGGATTATTAATTCAATAATTAGCAATGGTTAGAAATCAACTTTTAAATACAGATGTTGTGCATGCTTTGATAAAAAAACACATCATCTTAATATCATGTGTTCGTAAGTTCTCTACACTAACAGCCTAATTTATCTCTTTAATTACTGATTTTTTATTTAATACAAGAAGAAATATTTATCAATGCTATAAATTTTTCAAATAGTACAATGGATTCAAAATCAACCTAATATACCAATAGATACAACTCTAATTTTAATAAATGTGGGGAAAAAAATCGAAATTACAAGAATATTTCTATTAAGAACAAAGTAGCAAATAATATAAGATACAATTCAAAAGTAATTTTTTGATTTAATTTCTAGAATATAGACCATTATATTAAAGATTATTAATTTTTTGAATCAAATAAGACAAATAATAAAAATTTCTATAAATTTTAATTTAATTTAATTTAAAATCAAAATAGTCCACAAAATCTTTAGTTTTATTTTATTATTTTAATTAACTTAATCAATAAATCATCTATAATTACTGGCCATTGATACATAGATATTTGTGCCACCTAATATATTTTCTTATGAAAAATTAGCTTGTGTAAATAATTAAAAATAGCCAAATGATTCTATAGTTTTTTTTAGCTGAAATTACCATACATGTAATTAAAAGTCAAGGAGATGTTGCAATAGAACTATGTAATAACTAGGTAAAAGAAATACCTAATATATTAAGCATGCTTGGCTTTACTAAAATTTTATTCTTAATAACAAGAATTGACCAAGGTGGTGGAGAGCTTTATATTAGTGTTGTATATTAAATGCACATTAAAAATGCATATTAAAAAATATTGTTGTTAAATACTCACCACTTATTCATTGAAAAAAGATTTGTACAGAATTAGAAGCACCAAAAAAATCTAGTTTTTTCATATTTTCTTTTTCAACTATTATCTATAATGAACCTTATTTATGCTATCATTGCTTTGGTTATATATATATAAATAATTTTATTAACTAAAATCAATGTCTATTGGTCTCAATAATTATGAT